CGAGCACCTCTCATAACGAGTAATTCGCATAACGAGCAAAACAAATTGTAAAAAAAAAAATGACTTGCTTAACGAGCGACGGTTCGCATAACGAGTGGCGAGGAGACGGGAAGTCCCGATTTGTGCGCATGTTACATCAGTCTGTGTTTAGCACTCGTTCCAGTAGCATTGTAGTGTCGCTTGTGATCACGCATTTTCTCAAGCTTGCGTTATATTGTGATATATGTACATGAATCCTCCAGGCCTACAAGATGACCTCTCTGAAGATTTTAAGTTCATCAAGTTCCAGTTTCTGCCTCCCTACACCACTTCGTTACTCCATTCAGCCCATGGACCAGCAAGTTATATCTAACTTTAAGAAGTTCTACACTAAAGCACTCTTGGGGCATTGTTTTTAGGTGACCGAAGAGACTTTGGCCACTATCATGGGATTGTAGGTGGATAATAGTGATATCGAAGAGTTTGTGGAAGAGCACAGCCAAGAGCTGACACCTAAGAGCTTATAGAGTAGCATTGTGTTTCACAGCAAGAAGTGTTCGAGGAAAGTTTGTCAAAGGAGGAGGAGAAGGTAACAGAAAAGCAACAATCTTAATAAATAAGAGAAATGCTGAAAGCATGGCAAACTGTTGAATCTTACATTGAGAAGCATCCCCCTATTAAGAAAGTGGCTTTGCGCGTTGCAAATTTTTTTAATGATAATGCTGTGTAGCATTTTCGCCAAATTTTGAAGTGTAGCAAAAACAAATGTCTCTGGACATCTTTCTAGTAAAAAAATTTTTTTTTTGCTATGTATCATTATTATTTCGACTTTTTTTTTTTCTGCAAATCGAATTCGCATTCCAAGTGGGTTCGTTCCTCGTTTGAAGAAAAGAGGAAGACGATTCTCTCTCCATAACAATATTCAATTTACTTTGAATAAACGTTATACATAGCATTTTGTGAGTATTTTTTTCAACATGGAACGCATTATCGTATTTTACAATAATTTATATGAGAAAAATTGTTTCGCATGACGAGTGTTTCGCTCAACGAGTTTGATTCTGGAATGAATTAAGCTCGTTAAGCGAGGCTCCACTGTATTTGCATATCGACTCATCTTTGGCTACTTAAGAAGGAGACGGAGCCCGTGTGAGGATGTCCCGAGCACAGAGATGGCAGTTCTTGATTCATTCATTGATCACTCAATAACAGAAAAAAAATTATGCAAGCTGTTGTACTCGTTAACGCAGTCCTCTGTTGGAACGCTCGCGTGTTATGCCAGAGAGATACAGTGAAACCCCATTAACGCGAACTTCCTTGAGAAGAAGGGTTAACATGGACAGACCGCACGTCTCAGTAAGGACGTGTTGTTTTATTAGTCCAGTTATCGCGAAATTTGTTTAAATAACTTGCTTACTTACTTACTTACTTACTTAGTCGCTCCTCTTCTACCTTGGGGTGTAGAGGTTTGCCAGAGAGATCGCCAGACGTCTCTATCAGCAGTTTTCTTTCTACTTGTAATCGTGGTTTAAGGCAAACAGGTGATTGCGAAATTTGTTTAAATAACTTGCACGCACTGAAATTGTGTTTCCGCGATTTTACTGTTTATGCCACAGGCGCCTGAACGTGGAATCTCAGGTACCTTTAAAAAAAAAAGGGGGGGGGGTGAGGGTATGGGGCTTTTTTTTATGTGCTGGAGTTTGTTTCCTCACTATCTTGTGAAAAACTTAAATGATTCAAGAGGAAGAGGGAGATGAGAATGAGGGTGCGTGAGCGAGAGTAAGCAAGCGATATACTAAGAGAGAGAGAGAGAATGGTTTGGTTTATGCAACACATCAACATCACGGCACAAGGATAGTAACCCATGAGCGCTCCGTTCTACTTTTAACTCAAAAGACAATAATAAGGGCGAACTATACAAAAAAAAAGGGGGAGGGGGGATCGATTGAAGAGTAGCAGGCAGGCAGGCAGAGAGAGAGAGAGAGAGGGGGAGAGAGAGAGAGAGAGAGTGAGAGAGCGAGGGGGGAGAGAGAGAGAAAGAGAGCTACAAGAGTGACTGACAGGTAGCATGCGGTGGGCGATAAATAGAAAGATTGAACTCCCACCCCCCCCCCACCCCCCCCCCCCCCCCCCCCCCCCCCCCCCCCCCCCATTTTCCCGGCCAGAGATTTTGTGAATGCCAGAAAACTGAAAGATTATGATACAGAAAGAGAAATACACAGAGAACAGAGTGTGTGATAGAGTAAGTGAAGCAGAGAAAGTGATAGTGGTGTGTGTGCCTGTGTATGTTTTCTTTCTTATGACACACACACACACACACAAAAACAGACAAATAACATGTAGTTTCCTACTGAACGCAGGGTATTTATCCTTTATTAGATCCTGTCCCTGTTTTGTCCTTCCTCTTTACTCGAGGATTACATCATAAAATAATTACACCTGGTGACTCAATGAGTCATTACTTGGATGACGTAGAACATGAACAATTCCCAGAAACCCTGTTCAACAGTGTAACAGGTGGCAAAGGAGAATTGGGCATTAGACAACGCCATCAGTAAAATAAAAAAACTACTATAAGAATAACATTTAGGCACTATGTGCAATAAGAAGGAATGGAGCAGCCTGAATTTTGAGGAAGGTTGGCTATAAAAGACAATAAAACACAAAAAAATTGAAATAGTTGGTCACTTGAAACGTCACGAAAGTTTACAGAGAACAATAATGGAGGGGTATACACCTGTGAAGAGAGGAAGAGGTATGCCAAAGAGAAGATAGGTGGAGGATGTGGCGGATGATTTCTAGATGGGTGTACTGGACGGGGGACATCTTGCTGGTGATCAAGAAGGGTTGTTATGGGTTCAAAGTTTTGCAAAGAACATGCTACTGATTGACTGACTGGAGTATGCTGAACAAAGATAAAACAGTACCGTACTGAGGCTAGACAGAAGAAACTAGCCACCATAGAGAAGAAATGGTCCTAGCACTGCCTAAGGAAATAACCTACCATGAAAAGGTATCAAACCAAATGCGGCGAGAAAGCCTTCATCAGCCCATCACATGAATAGACAATGTTACATTTACAAACAAGAAAACACACAATCACTTAACTGTCGTATCTCCAAGAAAACTCGACATGACAAAATCATAATGATAAATATTCCTGTGTGGGTTCCGAGGCCCTGTTTAGGGAAAACAAGAATAGACCCACTGCCTACTCAAAAGCATGTAATAAGAGTCAACTAATTGGGAGCTTCCTTCAAAATAGGAGTGCATCTGATTGAGAGGCAAGGAACCAGCAGTCTGCATACAAATAAGTCAGATCTGTAAAATGGATGCACCCGCAACACGCAGGTTCTGGAACAGGACTATAGTCCAGAAGTAGGTGAACAACCAGAACTTTCCGCCAGAGTTTACAGCCGGTGAATGCGAAGAAGAAGATGATGATGAATACACTGAGAAGGAAATTTATACAAAACTTCAAAGCACTATAGATAATCCAATAAGTGGTAATAATAAAATGATAACTGGTCACCCGAATGGTAATATAGGTTTAAATAACATGGGTTTTGAAGAGAGAACTGGGCTCAGTCAGGTTTGAAATACTTCTAGACTCACACCATGTTGACTGCAGAAGCTGATACATTTGTCTATGTATCAATGAGCACCGCATGCTGGCCACCTTTACCTTCCAGGACATTACCCGGTACCCACTTTGGGCAGGGTCCATCTGGGAGCCAAAGTCTCAGTTTTCGTGAAACACAAAATATATCTCAATGCAAACTGAAACCCACGATTGTTGGGCCGGCAGCTGAATGTAAAGCTGACTGGGTGAGCCTCAAATATGAAAACAGTGCATCTGAAAGCAGTGGAGGCAGCTGATCTGACAGTCAACAGCATAATGTGACCCAATGCCAGGCTGAATGTTAAATGATGAATCGACATCATAGCACTCGGAATACTGCCATAAGCGCTCCGTCCCCATCTTCAGCAGCAAACAAAGAGTTCCAATTCTGATGGCACTAGTAAAAATGTCTGATTGTACATCGTCTCACTTTCCTTTGAGTGCTGAGCGTTGGCCAGATCCCCTGGTAATTCACTCCAGTGCCATTATCCTCAGGCTGTGCTATGCAGCTATGATGGATTGATGGATGAATGGATGGATGGATGGATGGATGGATGGATGGATGGATGGATGGATGGATGGATGGATGGATGGATGGATGTACAAGAGATATATGACATCTTATAAACACGGAAATGCATACAATGCAGGATACTTCAGAAATCAAGAAACTATATATATGGACAGTCCTCAATAATAGTCACAGGAGATGAGGCAAGTACTGGAGACAGTTGGCAGCAAGCTAAAAACATATGCAACAAATGATGTACAGAAAAGTGCTCGAAAAATGGGAATAGAGACAATAAAACAGGAAAAACCTTAAATCCATTTTTTTTAAACAACAAAAAAAAAAAAAAAAAAAAAAAAAAAAGATAGGCATATTTAAACAATAGTAAAACCAGATCTAATATAACCATAGCCTATAAAAATACACAAAGGCGACGATTCCTCGTTCAGTTTGTTAGTGCAGATTTTTCTTCTTTCTTTAGTAAGGAGATCCCTGGGGATCGCTGCAGGAGCTGCGGAGTGTGAGCTTTCTGCAACACTATTGGCAGGCAGCTAGTTATTCTGGGGACAGAGACTGGGCCACATGGGATAACCCAGTGCAATGAAGTCAACTCCTTCCATCTTTAACACAGATACTAATAAAGAAATCAGTGAGAAAGGCACAAAACAAATGCCAGTAACAGCATACTGCAATGTCCATTCCCCCCCCCCCCCCCAAACCCTCTTTTTGCTGCTACTAAAGGGTCTGTACAACCCTAAGACTTCAATTATCTAAACGTTGATAACAAACTAACAGTGACAATTCCAGTCAACCTATTCAACCTCTAGAGAAGTTATAGTTTTATAGTAACAAACATGGTCAAGACTCAATAAAGACAGAGAGAGCCAGCTGTCAGACTTTCAGTATCCTTGATGACCACATCCTTAACTGGTCTTCTCTGCTGCTGAGTTTATCTCTCAACTCTCCACTACCGTGTGCAAAAGGACAATCATTATTTGTCTTTGGGCAGCCGTCCGGGTGGTTGTCAGCAAACCAGCACAGGGTTGTTTTCCTGGTATGTTCCTGGTTGCCCCGTTTATTTCTGCCTTTCTTCACATTGCATCCGTTCCAGGGATCTGCCGCTGTAAAGTCTCGCAGCTGAACATTGCCCCCCGTCACTAAAAAATTTATGTATTTGTAAAAAACAAAAAAATTATTATATTTGAACATCTCTTATAAACAAAATTAATCATTTTAAAATCTTTCTTAAACAAAATTAATCATTTAGAGAGAGTATATGTGTGTCTGTGAGAGAGAGAGAGAGAGAGAGAGAGAGAGAGAGAGAGAGAGAGAGAGAGAGAGAGAGTGGGGGGAGAGAGTGTTTGTGACAGAGAGAGGAAGTGTGAATGTGAGAGAGTAAGTGTGAGAGAAAGAGTGTGCGTGTGTGTAACAGAAGGAGAAGGAGAGTGTGTTCATGCGCCAGTGTGTGTGAGAGAGATTGTGTGCACATGTGGGTAAGAGAGAGTGTGTGTGTGAGGACAGAGAGAGTGTGCATGTGTGTGGGTGAAAGATAAAGACACAGAGAGTGTGCATGTGTGTAGGTGAGAGATAGAGACAGAGAGAAACGGGGGAAAGGGGGGCAATGACCAGCATAAAGAATAGGAGGCACAACTGGCACAAAAGTACATGAGGCAGGAGAGCTGGGTAGGTGCTGGGTTTCTCTTGGGCCAGCTGAGATGGAAGTGACAGTCTGTGACGGACCTGGTATGTGACGATGATGAGATACAATTTAACTTCTGTGAGCTGAAATTTAGCACAAATGCCAAAGCAATAAGAGACAAGTCTTTGCAATCACTAGTAACAACAGTTACAAAACAAAGAAGAAGATGCCATACTGGATACATCCTGAGAAGCAACAAGCAGAAAATCACTAAACAGACACTAAAATGGGAAATAAATGAACTGAGAAGGCCAGGAAGCCTTTAAAAAAAAAACTAAAATGAACGTTGGTGAGAGAAGCCAAAAGTGCTGGATTTTAAATTCCAGGACACTCAAGTGATTGCACACGATAGAGCAGATGGAGGAGCAAACTGCGAGCCTGTGACACATAATGGCACAACAGGACAATGACAATCTGAAACTGTAAAACATAAAGCAATATAAGCCTTAAGCAATTCTGTTAATATAAGCCACAAGTCAGTGGTTCTCAACCTTCGTAATGCCGCGACTCTTTAATTCAGTTCCTCATGTAGTGACCCCCAACCATAAAATTATTCGCGTTGCTACTTCATAACTTCACTGAATATGTGTTTTCCAATGGTCTTGGGCGACCCGAAAAGAGTCGTTTCCTCCTCCCCCCCCCCCCCCCCCCCCCCCCCCCCCCCCCCCCCCCCCTCCCAAGATCAGTACCCACAAGTTAAGAACCACTGCCAGAAGTGATGCTATTAGTATAAGCCTTAAGCAAAGATATATTATGGGCCACATTATGAGCCACAAGCAATAGTATCAATAAAAGGAATATCAATAAATGTGATGTTTGTATAGAATTAGCTCAAGAAGCAACAAGGATGCCACATATATATCTGTCACTGCCTCAGTTCTGCTTCTGCTTTGTGACAGCAGATTTCTTCTTCTTCAGTGCTCACCCTTTACAGGGCAGCTGGTGCAATGCAGTTTACAGCTAGGCTGCAATATCTGTGCCATTTGACCCAGCACATCCAATTTCAGAAAACTTCTGATTGGTCACCTTTTGACAGCTCAGAAGAAATCAACCTTATACAGAAACAACCAATGGGCCAGTGGTTTTTAATGCCGGGTGTGTGTGGGTGTTTTAAGGGGGTGTCCATTTTAAATTGAGTGCATTTGTAATTTGTACTTGTAATAAACAATTATGCCAAGATTTGTTGTTCAGTTTAACTATAAAAAGCAGATTTGTGTTTTCAAAAAAAAAAAGTAAAGATCCCTTTTCACGCCTTTCGGCGCATCGGGCATATGGGCAGAGCGTCCCATATTTTTACAGACCATCAGCACTCTGTGGGTAATGTGGTCAGCATTACGCCGGCTGTCTTTACTTTCCCAGGACAGTCCATCCTGGTACCCATTTTAGGCTGGGTCGACCTGCGACGTCCCATACCACGACAAAAATCCACGCAGCCTGCAGTGGGTTTCGATCGCGGTATGCTGGCTTACGAGTCGGACTCGCAACGCCTTAGCCACGGACGCCGCAATAGATTTGTGTTAAGCTATTAATAAAATAAAAAACCAAGGATGTTTTTATTTTCATAAGCAGTTTGTACAGCAGAAATGAGCCAAACAAAACATGTCAACCATAACACTGATTTCTAGTTTCTTTGGGGGTTGTTTCTTTTACGTTTAGTGACACATTGATTTATGTAGATGATTTTCTCCACGTTTTTTTGGATTTTTTAAAGATGTTGGGGGAGGGGCAGGGGGTGCTGCCATATGTCGGCGGAAGGTGGGGTGGGGATCTTGAAAAAGGTTGAAAAACACTGCCCTAGTTGGACGCTTAGATCTCATGAGTTGGACAAGGACAACAAAACTATCGCTGACACACTCCCCTCAAAGAGCAAAGAAAGACTGGTTTACTTACCCTGAAAAATATGACTGTGATTCCGCAGCAATGTTTGCAGGCCTCCACATTCACTTTTCAATTGCTGCATTGCTGTCTTGTCAAACCGACTGGCTATCTGGCTCAAGGGGACACTTCCTGTAACAGTTGAAGAACAAAAAAGGTTTCAGCGAGACCACGGTTGAGGATAACATGATTTTTTATCAATTCTTTTCTCTAAACCCTAATCTGCTTTCAAGCATCAAGTTTTGAAGAGGCATCTGGTGATGCTTAACTTACAACATAACATTCTTAATTTACAACATAAAATACTGAACTTATAAAATAACATTCTAAATATACAACATAAAATACAACACAAAATTCAAAATTTCCAACATAAAATACTGAACTTACAAAATAACATTCTAAATTTACAACGTAAAATACAACATAGAATACTACTAAATTTACCGCATACAATATGGCAACGAAACAACACACACACACACAAATAAACCACACAAAATACTACAAGGACAACATAACTTACTATGCTCGCAACACAAAACACTATAAACACAACCAAAAAATAACCAACTAACCAAATAAAATATTTAACTCACAACATAAAATATTTAACTCACAACATAAAATGCTGAATGTACAACATAAAATACTAAACAAACAACGAAAAATACTACAGTTACAACAATCAAAATATAAATACTACGCTCACAGCATAAACAAATATAATCTTGATCTTCTTATCGTTCACCGTAAATAAACTCTGGCGGAAAGATCTGGTCGTTCGTCCACTCCTCGTCTTCAGCCTTATTCCAGGACTTTGAGTATTGCAGGCACATCTGTTTTACAGATCAAGCTTATTTATGTCAGATTATTGGTTCCTTGCCTCTCAGGCTTTAGAAAGAAAACACCCCTAATAAGTCCCCTTTTAGGACATGTTTTTAATGGGGAAGTGGGTGGGTTTGTTTGTTTTTTTAAAAAAAGGGTCTAGGAAATCACACAGAAAAATGTTACAATCCCAACAATAAGAAAATACAATTACAATTTAATAAACCACAAACAAAAACTACAAACATGGCATAAGAAACTATAAATACAACACAAGAAACTACAAACATAGCACAAGAAACTACAAACACAGCACAAGAAACTACAAACACAGCACAATAAACTACAAACACAACATAAGAGACTGCAAACACAACATAAGAAACTACAAACACAACACAAGAAACTACAAACACAAGAAACTACAAACACAAAATAAGAAACTACAAACACAACATAGAAAACTACAAACAAAATATAGGAAACTACAAACACGACATAGGAAACTACAAACACAACATGAGAAACTACAAACACAACATAGGAAACTACAAACACAACATAGGAAACTACAAACACAACATAGGAAACTACAAACACAACATAAGAAACTACAAACACAACATAGGAAACTACAAACACAACATAGGAAACTACAAACACAACATGGGGAACTACAAACACAACATAAGAAACTACAAACACAACATGAGAAACTACAAACACAACATAGGAAACTACAAACACAACATAGGAAACTACAAACACAACATAGGAAACTACAACACAACATAGCCTGCTCTACACTTACCCCCTTTGTTCCAGGTCCTCCCACCAGCCAATGACACAGTCTTTGCATCTGAAGCAGCAAGGACAAGCTGGAAAGCCACCTGGACAAACTGGGATTTTACCTGCTCTGGCACCCTTTGGCAGTTCCTGACACCAGGCTCAACTCGAGGCTGAAAGTCCTTCACCCAAGTCTTGCAAGAGTAACCATCAGAGGACAAACGTGTGATGCTGTCTGATTTCATGTCACCTGTGTGACTATCTTCTTGTTCTGCAGACAAAACTGTGCATTCTTCACCACAATCTCCTTTATGCCTTTTTGTACATCTGTTTCCCTCCAAACTGTCATCATCACCAAATCCACTGTCCAAACTGCTAAGAACCTCACTCTTTCTTTTCTCAGAAGGTGACGAGCAACTATCCTCTTGACCTGCGTCTGCTGAATCTTCAACGCCACCATTCAAACACTTACTCGATGCATCTTTCCCTGACGACGGCGGAGACTGTTCACAGTTGTTACTCTCCTCTGATGGCAGTGGCGTGTTCTCCTCAGCTGAGCTAGGACAGCAAGAAATCACATCTCTTTCATTGACAACTTTACCCACAGCTAGGTCTACACAAGATTTTTCTGGTTTTTGGTTCAAACTGCAAATAGTTCTTTTGTGAATGAAAGCTTGCCTCTTCACATCCATCTCCTCTTCCAGCTGCTGTGTGTATGTCCTCCTTTTACCAATAAAACACATCTGAAAAAGGGTGGGGGGAAACACTGACATAAACAATTAATCATACAACATGCAGATCAAATCTACTGCTTCTTCTTCACTTCCTCTTTTACTGCTTATGACAGCGGTTCTCAACCTGTGGGTCTGACCCCTTTGGGGGTCGAATGACCATTTCACAGGGGTTGCATAAGACTATCAGAGAACACATCTTCACAGAAAAATAATTTTACGGTTGGGGGGTCACCACATCATGAGGAACTGTATGAAAGGGTCACTGAATTAGGAAGGTTGAGAACCAGTGGCTTATGATTTAAAGCGGGGCTATTCAAATGTTTACTCAGCGGCCCAACATTTTTTTTTAAATGGGGGTCATCACAGGCAAGAGGCTCCAGGTCTAAGCAGACAGATCATTAATACAAAATAACCAGCCACGATGCGTGGGCCATTTGCTAGGCCATATCTGGCCCATGGGTCACATGCTAGGCCATATCTGGCCCGTGGGTCACATGCTAGGCCATATCTGGCCCATGGGTCACATGCTAGGCCATATCTGGCCCGTGGGTCACATGCTAGGCCATATCTGGCCCATGGGTCACATGCTAGGCCATATTTGACCCGTGAGCCACCGGTTAAATAACCGAGGTGTAAAAGGAGACATAAGGTGTTCTTCTGGCCACATATATCACAGAAACATTGTGCTGGTGTAGTTTCTCAGATGTTATCTTTCCATCTTGCTCTTGAACGATCTCTGGGTATGCCCAGTGTCTTATGAGCTGATTCTTACAATCATTTCTTACAATCAGTAAAATCAGTCACATCATACGTTCACAGTTCCTACCTAGGAGCCCAAATGAACCCAAGATGCACAAATTTTACGTTTCTCTTCACCACCCCTTGGGCCTCTACCCCACCGTTAAAGCAAAACAAAAAACAGACTGCTTTTAAGCAAAAACAGATCACCAACAGGCTTGATTAATAAACCGGTGGAAAAAAAACAGCAAAACAGGCTTGTTTGAAAAGCTAAACAAAAACAAATCAAAAACAAAAAGACTATGTTGAATAAAAACAGCCTAAATAAACTATTTAACATAACTTGGCTTAATAAATGAACTTCCATTTCTTGTGTTCACCAGCTGTAAACTACAGTAGATGTTCACCCACTCCAGGACTTTGGTCTTGATCCAGAACATAATGGTACATGCACATCTGTTTTACAGATCTAGCCTTCTTGCATGCTGACTGTTGGTTCCTGGCCTTTCAGACAGTCTCCCAACTTTAAAGAAAACACCACTATAATCAGTCACCTTCTAGGACATGCTTGGTGGAAGGGCAGTGGGTCCATTTTCTGTTCTCCAAAATGAAGCCCTGAAAACCTGCATGGGGATAATGAACAAACAAACAAACAAACAAAAGTTAAAGAAAATAAATTTTTGAAAAATTACAACAACAACGCTGAACATCAGATTCCTTACTCGTTTTGTCGACGGTATCCTTAGGGTGTCCGTCTCCGCAACGAACCCACAATGTTCGATGATATCTTTCACATAATCCATGTAGGATGCGTAGCGACTCTTCCCTTTCTCAGTTATGTTAAACTTGCCAGTGAAGTCATGAGGACAGCAGGGCAATAAGAAAAATGAAGTTTTGTATGATGACCTAGAGAGAGAGAGAGAGAGAGAGGACAGAATTTTAGAGGATACAGAACTGTTGACACAACAACAGACGTAAACGTAATCACTAAAATAACCTTAACACTAGAAGTCAAAATTGACATTAAAATAGCCGAAACATCAGCTGTGAACAGGCGTATTAACACAAACAAACATAAGTATTAAAATAAATTAAGCATTAAAATAACCTAAACATTAGAAGTAAAAATTAACATTAAAATAACACAAACTGAACATCATTAACTATCAGTGGTAAACATGTGCATTAAAAAAATCTAAACATCTGAAGTGAAAGTTTAAATAACACAAAACTCTATTAACATAAACTAAACATTAGCCAACAGTAGTAAACATGAGCAATAAATAAAATAATCTAAACATCTGAAGTGAAAATTAAAATAACAAAACTCTTTTAACATAAACTAAACATTAGCCATCAGTAGTAAACATGAGCAATAAATAAAATAATCTAAACATCAGAAGTGAAAATTAACATTACAATAACATAAATCTCAGTATTAACATAAACTAAACATCACTAACCATCAGTAGTAAATTATCAATTCTCTTTATGCCTAGTGGCACATGAGGTTTCAGAGAGGACTTTCCATGCTTTTCTGTCCTGTGCAATCTTCAGTGCAATTTTTTCCATGTCAGAGATGCCGCATTCAGGTCACTCTCCATCATTCATTTTCATGTTGTTCCCATCATGGGCTTCCTTTCGGCTTTCATCCATGTTGTTCACGCTGACAGAGGGACTCTGTCCCAAAACCGCCGAACGTTTAGAGCACTTCTTTCCTCTTGTAGTTTTTTTTTCAAGGTAGAGCTGTCAACACTGCGCACAACCCCCGAGCCAGGAGGACCGGGAGGCCATCTTTAGTCTGGCCCCTCACGAATGACATGTCCGGCTTGTGTGACCCTGTCAGGAACATACGTTCCGAACGGCATAGCTCACTAGATCACTGAGGCTCTCAAGCTCCCCCACCACAACAAGGTCATGGCCTCTGGGGGAAGTCAGTAGTAAATATGAGCAGTAAAATAACCTAAACATCAGAAGTCTAAATTAACACTAAAATAACCTAAAGATGAATTAAAAGTATTAACATAAACTAACACCAGCAGTGAACATAATGCTTAACATTTTTAAAAACCATTATGGTGTTTAATGAGAGTGGATCATTTCCAAGAAACGACACTGTCTATGAGTCAGTACTCCCCCCTTTCTCTTTCTTCAGACCCAACAGCATATGAATATTTTTCCTCTTCATGGTCCATGAAACTCAAAGAATCTTCATGCAACATTAATGTTTAAAAGCCCTAATTTTAATAGTGATGACTGTGAAATAGCCACCGACTCACATCCAAATGTGGCCATCGAAAAGGTTTATGTTATCAGGAGTCTCACTACACATCATCTGATGACGTTATGCCAAAAGTTCTTTACACTACTTAACATCTGCATTGCTTAACTGTCTGAGTCCCAAGAAACATATCATATGTTCATAGGTTCCTAACTAGAAGCCAATGTACGCACGATGAGCTGATTTTTACGTCTCTTTTGACTACCCCTTGGGCCTCTGATGCTAAACCCCCTGGGACTCAAAGAGTTAAGCAAATCTCCTTCTACATTTTTGTGAGCAATCTCTATTGCTGCATGGTCACGTCTGCTGTATGGAGCTGAGACATACAGTATAACTCAAACACAAACTAATAACATACAAACATTCACTTAACTATGCCATTCACAGAACTGAGGGAATGTGACAGGAATCCATAACGCTGAGCTTTGGGACAGAACTAAACAAATTCCAGAGAATTAGGAGGTCGAGAACACATGCTGGCATTAGATAGGACACATGTTGGGAAAACCTAAGAACAATATAACCAGAATGCCTTTACACTGGAACCCACAGGTACACAGAAATAAAGGCAGACCAAAAGACACAGAGAAGGCACCTAGAGTCATCATCATCATCATCAATTTCCACTTCTGCCTATAAGTGTTGTGGAGAGGAACAGTTTGTGATCCATTGCTTGGTGGGCAGCAATGGCTATTGTCATTCCATGTCGATATAGCACTTTAATGTCATCAATCCATCTTCTCCTAGGGCTGCCTCTTGCTTTGTTCTTGCTACATTCTTACAAAATGACCAAAACATCTGATCTTCTCTTTCTCAATGAATTTGCTGCATGGTTGTGTTCCTACAGTCTTTCTGACATCATTTTTGACTTTGTCTTGGATAGTTAAGTTGGCTGCTTTTCTTATTTCACAGGTGTTAATTTTACGTAGGTTAGCCAGCCTTTGATAATGTCCAAGTTTGGCAATAGTAGCACAGTGTTGGTATGAATACACTGTTTCTTGGTGCTCATACTTATGTTTGGATGTCTTAATTACGGTTTCAGTTGGTATATAAGTGCACTGGCTCGTTGGCATACTGCTTCTAGTTCACCTAGAGAGTAAAGTTAAAGAAAAAAATGGGAAGGAGAAGGGATGAGCTGCCTGCAATAGCAATAAAATAACCTGGTGTGAGATGGCTGAGGGTTTCAACTAAACTGGCAGACACAGGACAGCAGAAGAATGTCTATAGTTGTTATTTATTTTAAAGAGTTACAACTGTTACAACAGAAGATACCTGGCTGCAATGACAGGGACCCAGGGTGTCAGCTCGTCACTATGGTTGCCAACGATCCAGTCATATCCCGGATACAAGTGATCCCCCGATGGGCTGACCGTCTTCTCCTGGCGATACAAGAATAATTTGTAGAAGCATTGAGACATCACTGATAAGCTAGCACATCTCACAAGGGACTGACAAGCTAGCACATCCCATAAGGGACTGACAAGCTAGCACATCTCATAAGGGACTGACAAGCTAGCACATCTCATAAGGGACTGTCAAGCTATCACATCTCATAAGGGACTGACAAGCTAGCACATCTCATAAGGGACTGTCAAGCTATCACATCTCATAAGGGACTGACAAGCTAGCACATCTCATAAGGGAAACACAGAAGAGGCTGGAGGCTTAAGACTATCGGTACTCTTGACAGTATCCTTCCTGGGGAGACTGATTCCCTAAGAAGTGGACAAAGTATCCAGATGACACTCAACACAGTGAGGAAAAGACACTGGCACTTTCATTCAATGACACCATCATGTGGCCCAAAAGGTACAAATAGCAGTGTGACCATAGCCACAACACAACGTGCCAACCATTTTTTTAAGGGCAAAAGCAGAAGAAGAAGAAAGAGAAAAAAAAGAGGAGAAAGAGTAAATAGTAAGTAGAAGTAGTAAGCAGCAGCAGGAGTCGAAGAAATGAGGGAAAAAAAGGAAGAAAATGTACAGTTTGCAAACCGATAAATGTTATCTACCTACTTGCAAATCAACATCGGGTCCAAAAGTGCTCCAAATGTTTCTCTTTCTGAGGTCGATTCCCAGACCCTTGTGCTGCAAATTCCACAAAAATGTGAAACAATGAGTAATCCTCTTACGGATATAAAATGAGCTAGTGCAATACCTTCTAACCAAGATTTACAGGACCCACTTGGAGGCAGGACAAACCTTTCCTTTACAACTTTAAAAAAAAAGCATGTCTCAATGCGTGGACTATTGTTAGCATGTTAAAATGAAAGTTTGTCGAGAATCTTCTCTTACTGTCTTCCCAAATGTTTTTCTCCCAGGTCAACCCAGCCTAAAACGGGTACCATGAAAATGTAATGGGAAGTGAAGGAGCCAAAATAATGCTGACCACAACAGCCGCTGATGAGTGCTGACTGGCCTCTAAAAATTTGAGATATCCCATACCCCATGTACCTCTAACACAGTTGTCCTTTCCTTCTTTTCTACATCTTTTCCCATAAACCTGCACAGATTTTTAATATTTCATACAAAAAATGACTTCTTTTTCTTCTTCATTTCCTCTGTTAATATTTTGGGTGTCGAAGGAGATATAAGGTTTTGCTTCTAGCCCATAGACACACCGTGCTGCTGCAGAGTCTCTCTGACGTTATCTTTCCACCTTGTCCTCTTATTTTAGTGTATACCCTGTATGGTATTGAGGTCACACGGCATTCTCTCCCTGTAGTGATTGTCACATATTCAGCAAAACACACCTCTTCTGGTTGGTTCAGTCCATACCCTGTACCTCACTATGTAAATTTGCCAGGTTTGAATGTGGTATAGTCCAGTATAAATATATAGTCCTTCTTTAATAAGTATGGGTCAGGATATACCCATTTTAAGCTTGTTCAACCCTAAACCCACTTGGAGGGAGCAAATTTGTTAAATTACTCACAGGTAAGTGATTCTGATTCGTGGCGAAGCCATTTTCCGTGGCCGAACCACCACCAGCGTTGGCGGAAGGAATCTTTTCTGCTTCTGGTACTGGGACTTTACTGGGTATTTGCTCTTCTTTTATTTACTGATTTCCTTCCCACCTTTAGATAAATCTTTACCAGGGTTTGATTTATGCAGTGTGCATGCAGTTTAGAAGAACTGTTCTCATAACTTTCAGAAAGTGTTACTAGAGTCGCACAGCAGAAAAGATTGGGGCCTTGCCACACAATATTCTCACAGATAGCAGTGGGTCTTCTTCTTCTTGTTCACAGGCTGCAAACTCTGGTGCAAAGTCCTGGTTGCCCGTCCGCTTCTGGACTTGTTTGATCCAGAATCTGAATTTAAAGTGCACATTTGTTTTGCACAGCTGGTTTAGTGGCGTGCAGACTGTTGGTTCCTCGCCTCTCTGGGAGATGCAATACAACTTTGAAGGAAACACCCTAATCAGTCGACTTTTATAAAATGCCTGTTAGATGAGGCAGTAGGTCTACTTCTCCCCCCCCCCCTCCTCCACCCACTCCAGAACCCACACAGTGGATCTAAAATGTGGAGACTGCACCTTTTGTTTTTCAGTAAAATCTTACCCCCTCTTTTGTGAGAATATACACCAGCAATCCATTCCCACAGCCCAGATCCACAAAGCTCTGCTTGTGTGTCAGCTGCTTCTCTCTACGCTCCTCTTCCCAAATAAGCTGCAAAAATACACAATAATACATCAAAACTGTCTTAAAATCTCCGATAAGCATCCATGTAAAAACGAAAAAAAAAAAAATACTTTTGTATATAAATTACTGTGTTAGATTTCACTAAGTAGGTGGACTAAATTAATTAGAACCATTTCATCAAATTTTGCCCCCCCCCCCCCCCCCCCCCAAACCCAGAATCTCTGTGTAAGTTCTAGGCAGCCTGGTTTTACATTCTGAAGATCATTTATGAACAACTGCTGATAGAAGACAAAAGGTTAGGTTAAATAACATGTGTAAGAACGTGTGAATGAGGAATTAGGTGTGAATGAGGAATTAAGTGTGAATAAGGAATTAGGTGTGAATGAGGAATTAGGTGTGAATGAGGAATTAGGTGTGAATGAGGAATTAGGTGTGAATGAAGAATTAGGTGTGAATTAAGAATTAGGTGTGAATGAGGAATTAGGTGTGAATGAGGAATTAGGTGTGAATGAAGAATTAAGTGTGAATGAAGAATTAGGTGTGAATGAGGAATTAGGTGTGAATGAGGAATTAGGTGTGAATGAGGAATTAGGTGTGAATGAAGAATTAGGTGTGAATGAAGAATTAGGTGTGAATTAGGAATTAGGTGTGAATGAAGAATTAGGTGTGAATGAAGAATTAGGTGTGAATGAGGAATTAGGTGTGAATGAAGAATTAGGTGTGAATAAAGAATTATTAGGTGTGAATGAAGAATTAGGTGTGAATTAGGTGTGAATGAGGAATTAGTTGTGAATGAGGAATTAGGTGTAAATGAAGAATTAGATGTGAATGAGGAATTAGGTGTGAATGAAGAATTAGGTGTGAATGAGGAATTAGGTGAGGATCAGGCAAGGAAGGAGCATTTAAGAGGAGAAGAATGTGTGTGTATAATAGGGAATGTTGAATGTCAATTAAGAATCGACATCATAGCACTCGGGACACCCCAATAAGCGCTCCGTCTCCATATTCAGCAGCAAACGATAAGTTCAAATTCCAATGGCACCAGTAACAGTCTTGTCACAGGAATAGTTAGCATCTACACCTGAAGACAAAGCTGCGGGAAACGGAGCACCTATGGGTATGCCCGGTGTGCTATGATGTTGATTCTTAAATTAGGTAAAAGTAACCCGTAAAATGAACTAATTAGGGCTCTTCTTAATTCAGATGCTTTGGACAAAACAATTTGCAGATATAGCAGACTTGCTGTAAATCACAACACACTGTGCCAGTTGGTCTTTTCAGAGAAGGAATAATACCTAGAAAATATAAACATGTTGGCAGTACAAAGATACAGCAACAGAAAAATGAAACAAAGACGATATGTTGTTATCCTATGGAAACATGACACAGATTTACACATATGATGTACCTTACTAGACAACAGAACATATGAACAGAAATTGCAATAACATGTATACCCTACTTGTAAATTAAGGTCTTCGCCATAAATTGGTCAAGTTGACTGTTTATACCCCGAAGATCGCCAGTTTATTCAGTGGGCTTATTTTCAGACTAATATCAGGGGTGTTCAGGTTTATGTTTCCACCAATATCAGGTTTTTGTGTTTGGATCAATACCACAGGGTTTAGGGTTTGTTTTTAAAATGCAATAATATGGGTCATGGTTTTGTTTTCTCACTGCATTATTTGCAGTCTTTCAATCGCAGCTAGCTTTTATCAGACACAGCAAAAATCAGTGTTGATAAAAACATACAAATGAACAATATAGATCAGCAATGATAAACATTAAAACTTACTATATATTTTTTGTTCTTCTCGAGAAATGTATCTCTAAACAGATCTTTGAAGTGAAATTATCAAGCCATCTGCATGTCTGGGTATTTATTTTAGACTGCATTATCAAGCGGTCGCACACCTGTTTTAAGTCTGCATCTTATAACTCACTGTTGCCATTTCTTCAGGGACCAGGAATCGTCAACGGAGATACAAAGTCAGCGGTTTGTGTGATGCTCTCCGGCCAGCTGCTCAGCAGAGTAAGACTCAAACTTGTGAAATCTTCTGCATTCATGTGAAGATATAAACATGTTGTGTCCATTTACAACATAGCTGCGACACTAGTGCTTTTTAGCTGACACATCCAACTTCTGCAGGCCTTCGGGTTAACCTTACTGGGTTAGTTTCTTGGGACAATGCAGTGTCATTGTTCTGTGGTCATCTTAAACTAATGAAATGATACAAATTATCTGCAAGGACAATAGACGTAATTACAAATAAAATGGTCCCCCGAATGTAGCAACAAAGTAAACAATTTTAGCCTGAAGCAAATCAAATTCCAGTATTTGAGTACCTTGTTAACAGCAAACAGAAGATACATGAAATAAGTTAATTGTAGGATAGCCCAAGAAAAGAAAAAGTACAATTTCACAGGATGGAAAACATTGTACAGAATATTTCCTTGTTAACTGAAGGCTTCTTCTTTTCATTTTCTCTGCCAGTGGTTTTCAGATGAGAAGTCCACAGGCCTCTAAGGCTGTGGTTGGACACGTGTCCTCTTATGATCCCTACAGATTGGTTTTCAGTGGTATGCTCTGACCAGACCTGAGCTTTTTCTGAAGCATTCTGGGGTGCCTGCCTACGGGGGCAATGTTATCACTTCAGAGGTCCCCGGCAATTAGCATCCTCTGGATATTTTTCTCTAGGTCATGAAGGTGTGTGGGGAAATAAGCAGATAGATAGAATGGCTGGCTTTGCACCACTTGGTGGTAAACTGATGTGTGACAAGCTAGATATTGTGAGGGCATTTTGGGAGAGAATGAAGAGTGCGGGTAGATCATTAGGGTCTAAGGAGAACGGCGCTGCAAGGGGATCTGGCCAATGCTCAACACTCAGGGGAAGGATGAGACGGATATACAATGAGACGGTTACTGGTGCCATCAGAATTGGAACTCTTCGCTTGCTGCTGAGTGTCTAGAGTGCCATGAAGTGGATTCTTAATTCAACATTCAGTATGAGTCCGTCAACTTGAGTTACTTAGTAAATGAAGTGTGAAAGAGAATTCTTAAGAGCCGTATACAGCCCAGCCCAGAAGTAAACTGCATGCAGTCAGAAGACTGGTGAAAGCTGTTAAAAGGTGGTTTTATAAAAAAAATTGTGAGAACACAATGAATGGATTAAAAAAAAAAGCTTGATAAAGACGCCTTAAAATAAATTAACCCAGAAAAACAAATTAATTATCCATATAAGAATAACATAATAAATATTCTTTGGGCACATCATAAGAGGGGGAACTTGAGTATATTATGTCGACAGAGGAACTGGAGAAATAGAAAAGCAAGAGGGGACCAAGAGAAAATGTTGCTTTTAACATCAAGTCATTGAAGAAGATTCGCATTAATAACACTTGGCACCACATGTGGCAGAAAGCCACTGAAAAACATGATGACATAAAAAGCCATATCGCATTCACTATACACAAAGAAGAAGCAAATATATAAAACAATAAATCATCTTCTTCACTGTTTGTCTAATGATGAAATGTGTTGTGCCTGTTTACAGCATAACTGCAATATTTATGCCTTTCGGCTGACAAATTTGACAAAATCTGGCATTTGTTATCCAGGGTAGCCTTTCCAGTTTCATATGACATTTGCAGCCTCATATGTACAGTATTTGAATCATCCCTTGATCCCCAAGGGTTGTCCCTATAGGACCCATCTAGGGCAGCCACATGCAGATTGGTCAACCCATAATGGAAGGCAGGTTCAGAGCATGGGAATTCCACGCCATTCAAAGGAGGCTTCCCCAAATGCTGAAGAATACATGACGTTCAGGTCCTGGTCATGGGTTCATCACCCAAGGAATTGTCACGTCCTGCCCATGACTGCTTAACCTCACATCCATATACTGAGACTTCCACACCTTACGGGCTGCATAAGGGATCCCCAGGGAGCAGTCTACAGACCCAAGACTTTTAAAGGGATCCCCAGGGAGCAGTCTACAGACCCAAGACTTTTAAAGGGATCCCCAGGGAGCAGTCTACAGACCCAAGACTTTTAAAGGGATCCCCATGGAGCAGTCTACAGACAAAAGACTTTGACTGCCTGCATAAAAGGGCAGCTCACTAAAACAATAAATAATACAAAGTGCACAAACCAGGAGGTAAGCAGCAATGGCAACATCCTCGTAGACAAACTTTTTGGGATCTGTGCGCTCTGTCCAGTTCTGTACACAAGAAAAACAATTACAATTGAAAACCTAAATGGTCTAAACATGTGTGTATCGTCATCGCCTTTATGATGGGCATGGCGATCTCCAACTTCATGTGCTGACACCCCAACATGCAATGTAAAAAACAATGTCAAGGATCTTCTTGCAGTGTCTGTCTCTATCTCTCTTTCCACAAATCGTTCTCGTCGTCCCAATAAGTCTCACTTTCTTTCTTTTCTTAAGATGGTCCCAAAAATTATGTCTGTCTCTTTCTGATGTTTGTGACAAAAAGTCTCAAGGCCCTCAGCTATCAAAACATCTGGCCTATTTGTTTTGGCTATTCAAAAGATTTTAAGCATAAAGTATATATACTAGAACCAAGTAAGTAGATACCTTTACATGCCTTTAGGCACATCTCGCATATGGGAAGAGCACCCATATTTTTAGACCAATCTGCACCAGCTGGGTAATGTGGTCAGCATTATACCGGCCGTCTTTACTTCCCCAGGACATACATCCTGGTACCCATTTTAGGCTGGGTTGACCTGCGATGCCCCACACCATGATAAAAATCATACTAGAACAAAGCATACTATAAATATTATTAATGCCACATAATAATAGTCGTGAACCAAGTGTTAAGATTTCAAATGTTAGTGAATGAGCATATGTTTTTAGGCAAGAAGTCAAGATCGCCCACTGTTGTCCAACTACAATGTCTCCCCCTCGTCCTTATCTACAACAATGCATTTTCCCCTCTCCCTTATCAAAACAATGTGTCTCTCCCATCTTCGTTATTTACAACAATCAGTGTTTCACTCTTCCTTGTCTACAACCATCCTTCCCTGTATACTACAATGCATCTACCCCTTTCCCTTATCAACAACAATGTGTATTTTACTCTTTCTTATCTACAACAATGTGTCTGTAATGCTGGCTTTCATAAATTTACCTTTTCCACCAAAAGCGAGTTGCAATTCTGGTGTGGAATTGTTACTATTGGCATATCTGTTTTATGAATTTTTACTTTGCATGTGCAAGATTCAAGATTTTGCAGGGACTGACAAGCTCTTCACTAGTTTTCAAATGGGACAGTGAAGGAAATTCTGTGTGATCTCCAATGCAGCAGTTACGGGGGGCAAACCCATCTGCAGTGATGCTGGAAACCTCCAAAAATTGACTAAATGATGTTTCTTTCAAACATCAACCTTCAGAGTAATACCCTAGGTCTGTCAGTGATGTCACCTACCAATCAGTTTCTATAGACCAAGAATATACCGGACTGAATATGAATTAAACATAAGTATTTCTATCAATAAACCAACCTCTATTGTCTCTCAGGTGGACTCGTGGGAACAAAATGCCATGGACTGTGTCGTGTGGAGGGGCACATAAGGAAGGGACTAAGAATTTAAAAAAGATAAGACTGCAGAAAGGATGAGAGCTGAGCGTCTGAGTAAAAAACAGACTAAACCCAAATGTTGACAACAACGGTCCTGAAATCCCATGCTATCATTGTGGAAGACTTTTCTTAGCGCGGGCAGGTCTTGCTGGTCACAATCGCCATCACCTTGGGCTGTGAGTCCCATGCCTCCTCCTAGCGCAATATAACACTGTCGTCTGGAAAGATGGAAATGTGCCAATCATTGTCAAATATGATGCTGGAATGAATCCCAGGATTCACACGTAACCACAGGTAAACGAAAGCCAGTAAAGGATCCATTTGCCAGTGGCACAACGCTTCGGACATATGATGCTCAGCTTATATTTGTATAGCACAGTGATTCCCAAACAGTGCGCCACGCCGGCGAGCCGTGACCTCTTCACAGGGGTGCCGCAAAATATTTCAAGACACGATTTTTTTTTTTTATCTTTTACATACAAACAGTCAAATTTTTACTTCGGTTAGGGCGCCGAGGAATAATTTTAGTTAAAAAAAGGTGAAAGGACTTAGAAAAGTTTGGGACACACTGGTATAGATCTATCAGACCTTGATGGGTGATAGGATCAAGATCACGTCAGCCACTTTTATTTCTTAGGTCTTTACCTTGTAACCATTTAGGATGTCTGATCTCGGAGCCCAGGTTTTTTTTTTTTTCCCACATCCACCCAGTGGGGATTTGAATCCCTGAACTGAAGTCCTAAATTTTTTTTTTTCCTAAATGACTACGAGATAGTCCACAACTCATATTTTTGTGCTGCTTCACGAAGATGCACGCTTTCAAAATTGTGGTTCTATTTATTTCCTAGCTGGTGCTTAACCATAGCCCTTCGATGCTGTGTCATCTCTGTATTGCTATGGTAAACAGTCTCCATTGGTGTTTATTATGGAGCCCAGACTGTCAAAGTTTGTGACATTTTCAACTTCTTTAAGTGTTATTTCTGAGTAACAGACAGTTTTGCATGTGGACTATATTTCTGTTTTCTTAAAATTCAAGAAAAGGATTTGATTTCCACTGAGTTTTTGGACACACATAATTTAATATTCTATTTCCCTTCAAACTGTTCAAAAGGAGGATAGCATACTCTGCTTAGCGAAAAGTAAGCACCACTAAATATAAAAACTCAAACCTTGACAAGCTCTCGTCCATACGTATTTTTCAGGCGTAGATATGTGTTTTTGTATTCATCCACTGGTACCAGCTGCAATGAGGTCACAGCCGTAGAAATTCCATGTATCTGGGACCAGCTGACCAGTTTGTCCAGAAGAATGGTTTTTAGCCATTTTGATGTTATCTGCCGCCTGACCAGATTAACTTCTGTGTGATCACATGACCAGGCTAGCTTGATTTCATTGCCTGGATCCAATTCAGAACTGCAACAACAATAAACGCGATAATTTAGATATGAATAACAGAAACATAGCGAACAATCAAAAAAATAAACTACAAACAATCACAATCTGGTGCCTGCACAGAACACAGGGAATTAAATGGTATGATAGAATCGCTAACGTCAATCTTTAGAAAAAAGCTACATTCCAATGAATGAAAAGGTGAGGAAAGATGAGATGCTGGCATTGGATAGGACACCTATTAAAACCTGAGAACAATATAACTAGACAGGCTTTACACTAGAACCCACAAGAGCATACAAATAGAAAGAGACCAAAAATATATGGAAAAAGGAACTGGAGAGTAAAGTTAAAAAGATGTGGAAGACAAGGGTGAGCTGCATATGATAGCAAAGGATAGGATGAGATGGTGTGAGTTGGGTGAGGGCCTGTGCTCCAATGGGGGATAAAAAGCAGATGAAGAAGAAGAAGGGTACTGTTATCAATAGGATTACTATGGATGATCCCATCCACAGTCCCATCACTTATTATATAGTGGTGAATCCTTAAGTTATAGCTGATTCCTTGATTGGGACTTTCCACTGCTGGTGATCAAATGTGCTGGAACTGATGTCCTCTCATCTGATACTCAGAGGCTGTATCAGACGTTGGATCCAGATCTTTCTTAGCTTACCTTCTCTTCCCTTGTACTGAGCCCGGTTTTCATATATACTGTCGCAACCTGTATGAGACTGGCTAACCTATATCGTCACTCCATTTAATAATATATCGCAGTGCCAACTTCATGGCAAACGGGTCAAACCATTCGTGTGCTAACCAAACAAGCCACACACTGCAGTCTCGCAAATAAATAACACGCACATGCATTAAATGCACAAGGCAGACATCATAAATTCCAAAACAAGCAGTCCAACATTAGAAATGCAGTTCATCGTCAATGGAAGCAGCAATTTCAAAAGTTCAGCAGATGCACATGTAAATAATTACATAAGGCCCCATCAGTTCTCTGGCAATAGACCACTCACCATTTTCTGAATCTGCAGTAGTTCACAACACAAATCACACTGGGCACAGTCAAAAAAACATTCTTAAAGAATTCCACAGTTTATAGACTTAAACTAGGTTTTTTATTATTTTTTTAGATATCCAGAAACCAAGAGTTGCTAACCCTTTGGCTCGGTACTAGGGATATCGCAACTCTTCGGCCTTGATTCCATGACAGATACCGTAAATCTGGGAGAAATGTGGCTTTTCTGCCTAAACCCGGACCACAAGGAGTTTGTCACCCGGTCACCGCGCAGTCAGGTTTAACCAACTGAGCTAGCGAAGCGGGCAACGTGTTTAAAGCTGAGTGGAATCGATTTCTTTGTACTATGTTTTTATCTTAGACAGCTCAGTCTCTCTCCACACAGCAGTCAGTTGCTTGCAAAGGGAGTTGCAAAACACACAAAATGTGTAGCTCTAGTGACAACTTCCTATGAATCTTTTAACCACATACGGTCCAAAGTCTTCCTCCTCTTCTTAGCATTCACCGGCTGCAAACTCCAGCTAACAGTTCTGGCTGTTCATCCACTTCTAGACTTCAGTCTTGTTCTAGAACTTGAGTTTTGCATACATATCAGTTTTACAGATTTAGCAACTTGTAAGCAGACTGTTGGCTTCTTGTTTCTCTGACTTCAGGGGGAAAATGTCCAATTAGACGCCTTTTATGACATGCTTGTTAGGGAGACAGTGGGTCTATCTTGTTCCCCCTAAAAATGGAGCCTCGGAACCAACACCGGAAGGTTGCAAAGTGAACGGCTAAGTTTAAAACTGAATCAACTACCAACAGAACACAAGGCAAATGACTTTACCTCTTCACCACACAGAGTCAGACATGTCAAAATGGTTAAAATGCTTGCAAATCTCTAAATTATAGAGAAAGAACATGCTGCTATAAACACTAGGTTTATATGAGTCAATCAGGAGAGGTATGAACACCCAAACAAAAATACGAAAAAAAAAAACAATAAATGAATAAATATACATATAATCAATCTTATACATTTTCATGTGCCCTCTAACAAGCATACTGTAAAAGACACAAATCAGGAGTTTACTGAAATCAGATGTGTTTAGCTGAAAGGTGCAGATATTGCAGCTGAGCTGTAAACAACAAGACAATGTGTCAACTGCTTCCTTGGAAACGAAAGCAAAAGAAGAAGTCTTATAGGCAAAATATACAACGTTCCCCGAGCCTTGAAACTGATGTTCTGTTACAATAAAATGACAGAGCAAAACCCACCAAAAAAACTCAGAATTCTGTACTCACATGCTTTCATCAGACAACACCAGCTGAAACTCATAGGGTAACTCATGTGTTGGTTTTATGTCTTCAGCCTCCCCTTCACAATCTTGGTCAATTGGTACGAAGCTAACTTTCACATTCTGTTTGTCTGGAAAATTGAACAATCATTTCCTTATCACTTCAGCACAAGAGCAGTGATTCAAATATTTATACCGATAGTGTAGAACGGGGCTATTCTAAGTGTACTTGTATATGGGCATGCCCCCTATGTGTTCCTTCAGTTAGCATCCTTTGGATATTTTCTCCAGGTCATGCTGGTGTGTTGGAAAATGAGCAGGCAGATAGATTGGCTGGCTCTGCGAGTTTGATATTGTGAGGGCCTTTTGAGAGCTTCAAAGACTTTCAAGAAACGCAGCAACTCCCAATTGAGGTGTCCACTCTCAGGAAACAATGATAGATACTGAGACACAGTGTACTAAAGACACCCATGAAACAAGCATTTACAGACTGAAGTTCAATAGACAAGAAACCTGTTCGAAGAAAGAGAAAAGCTCACATCAAAGCAGTCGAGACTGCTGCAATCAAACGGCAACACAAATTAGAATAACAATGCAAACAGTGCATTAAAGTGAATGAACAATTAGATTGAGAAGATAACGAACGCCACCGAAGCCAAGGTTCCTCACTTGCACAAAAACGTCAGAAGTGCCCCGAAATTTACCCAATCAGAGAGTTGCCTGCCTATCTGACACCGCCACCTAGCAAGGTCAAAGGGACGCCTACCAGCAGGATTACCTGAGACCCGAAGCTCAGACACCCAGCCAATAGACAAAATGCGCCAAAAATAGCACCAGCATACCTGCGGACCAGCCAGCTCACCGAACCAGAGGAAACCCCAACAGTTCAAGACCAGTCAGGCGCGACAAAGCAGCAGAAGTCAGACGATGACCTAAAAACACACCATCAGCACAAGACTAGTCAGGCACGTTGCACAGAACACAATTTACAGCAAAAATCAAAACCCATTGAAATAACACCAGATACAGCTTCACAATATAACCAAAATGGAAGGACAGCAACCCTCTCCGGCCCTGGCTGAATGTGGTCAGCTATATGCTCCGGTTCATTTTACGTTTAGTTGTCGGGAGCATGGTAAGTGGAATTGGTGGTTGGCTGTGTGGTTTCGTTGTGAATATATATATATATATATATATATATATATATATATATATATATATATATATATATATATATATATATATATATATATATATATATATATATATATATATATATATATATATATATATATATATATATATATATATATATATATATATATATATATATATAAGTTCAACATATCAAGAGAAAGCTTTTAATGTCAATCTGATAAATCTATAGTTATAGTTACATTCTGCACCCATTTATAGATTACTGTATAAAATTTCACCAGTGTAAATGAGAGGAAGAATTCACAGCACATTTAAGAAGTGCATCACTTAAAGTCAATGGCAGCCTCCATCTTGAAAATTGGGAGAATCCCCTTTCATAATCACCGGACTCAAGCCTCATTTAAGTGCATAAATATTTGTTATTGATTAAATTAGGTCACAATTTATTAATTGATGCCTGCTAATCACTTCAGGATATTTAAAGAAAATGTCGGATTATTTATTGAAGTGGCTGGTTTTTAGCAGGGACGTTCCTAGTTACTAGAAGACAGTCGACGCTAGAATTTTGAAAAATGTCATCCAGTTATTGATTTACATTTTTGTTATATGCTGACTTAGTGAATCATACTAGCTATATTTGAATTCTCCACCCAATTGTTACAGTTGTCAGGAAAAGTTTACTCCTTTCAATGAGTGGAATGATTTACAAACTGAGATTTTAATGACATCTGCCAGTCGGTGGTCAGTCTGCCAAAAGCATGTTGCCCTAGCAGCACTTCACTCATCATCATCATGTAGCAGGTCCTTTGCAGAACGTCACTCTCATCACAGTCTGCCTGAAAGAGGCTAGAAGAAGTCAGGCTAGAGGAAGTCAGGCTAGAAGAAGTCAGGCTAGAAGAAGTCAGGCTAGAGGAAGTCAGGCTAGAGGAAGTCAGACTAGAAAAAGTCAGACTAGAAAAAGTCAGGCTAAAAGAAGTCAGGCTAGAAGAAGTCAGGCTAGAGGAAGTCAGGCTAGAAGAAGTCAGGCTATAAGAAGTCAGGCTATAAGAAGTCAGGCTAGAAGAAGTCAGGCTAGAGGAAGTCAGGCTAGAAGAAGTCAGGCTAGAAGAAGTCAGGCTAGAGGAAGTCAGGCTAGAGGAAGTCAGGCTAGAAGAAGTCAGGCTAGAGGAAGTCAGGCTAGAGGAAGTCAGGCTTTGCAGATATAGCAGACTTGCTGTAAATCACAACACACTGTGCCAGTTGGTCTTTTCAGTGAAGGAATAATACCTAGAAAATATGAACATGTTGGCAGTACAAAGATACAGCAACAGAAAAATGAAACAAAGACAATATGTTGTGATCCTATGGAAACATGACAAAGATTTACACATATGACGTACCTTACAAGACAACAGAACAGATAAACAGAAATTGCAATAACATGTATACCCTACTTGTAAATTAAGGTCTTCGTCATAAATTGGCCAAGTTGACTGTTTATACACCGAAGATCGCCAGTTTATTCATTGAGCTCATTTTCAGACTATTATCATGGGTGTTCAGGTTTATGTTTCCACCAA